TTATTTATTTTTTACTCTACTTTTCTGTTATTACTCACATTGCATGCCTTTTCTTTAATTTGACTTATTTTGCTATTATATTATTTTATATTTTATTTCATATAGTTAATGATCTTTAACCTTTCAAATAACAATTAACTAAATAATAATAATAATAATAATAATAATAATAATAATAATAATAATAATAATAATAGTAATAGTAATAGTAATAATAATAGTAATAATAATAGTAATCAATTAATGATAAAATAGTCAAAGTTAACAATACACTGATTGATTAGATATAAAAAATAATATTGCCTTCTCAATACCATTATGAAATACAGCCTAATTAAAGAAAAAGCTTTTTTGAGTAAATATTATTCTAAATATATTAGAATTACAAATATGCAATGAAGGAAAAAAGCTAGAGAAAGGTTTCATTTTCGATAAAAAATGATTTTTACATGTTTATTTACAAATTTTAAAATTTCTTTACAAAAAAGCACCTGTCACATTGTTTAGCGCAGTGAATGTTGTAGAATTTATTGAATGAAATTTAGAAAAGTGAAAACTTGACAAACAGATCAATTCGTCTGCTCAACACCACCAAAAATAATGCTTTTTTGGATTTAACTAACTGTATGAATAATGAAATGCTTGTCCAAGTAGGAGTGGCAATATATCCAGGTATATTGATAAAACGCATGTGATAGTAAAGGATAGTAGTATTTAGCAGTCATCTTATCCTTATTTAGTGGTTGATCATATTGATGTCCTTATCACATTGAATGTAAAGTAAAAAACAAAGATACCGCCATTAATTATGAAATTTATTTATCTTATTAAATTCAGTAATTATAAACTTTAATTAAAATGGAAAGATTAATTTTGAGAGTATGAAAACTATCGAATAAATCATTTTCGACTACCATTAATAGCATGTTAAAATTGCATTTTGAATAATTTACGAACAAATTTCAAATTGTTTTTTGATCAGAAAATGGAAATCCTTTGTTTTTTTCATTTGTTTTGATTGTTTTCCTTTTCTAGTTTGTTATATAATTTAAAAGAACAGTTACTTTAAATAATCTTAATGAAGTTTTTTATTTTAAAACATCATTTCATTCCATTTTATCATTCTTTTTGTAAAATTAATTATTTCATAAACCATTCATTTTCCCTTTTATGAATAAGTTTGAATATATTATGAATAATTCAATGTAATATTATCAGTAATTTTTTGCGTTTTATGTGTCGTTACATTCGGTAACAACTGATTGCCGCTTTATTGATAGATTTTGTAATAATTGTGATGTAAGGGGTCAACATTTATTGACCTGAAGATATGCTACATCTGTCACGTATCAAATTGTAAATGAAAGGAAGGATATAGTCTAGCCTGTAAACGAAATGATGGCAAATAAGTTTAGAGGACAATGTAATATATGTTTGATTGTAAAAACAGATTGCGTGGGATTTTTACCCATGTATATAAGAGGTAACAACTTAGGTGAGATCATCATGGTGGAGATATTGATGCTATTCTTAGCATGGTCCATGCTGCAACAATACAAAAGGTACTGAAATCTATTTGTGATGTCACTCTTCTGTTAGGGTTATATCTTGCTTATCACCTTAATTTTATTGACAAGATTTGCATTATCTTAATTGGTCGATATTGTATAAATTTTATTTTAACTCTGATAATCTGATACATATTTCAAATATCATTCTGTTATAAAAGTTTTTTTTTTAAGTAAAATGTTTACAAAAAACACAGATAAAAAATGACCATACATTAGAACTATTTAAATTGTCAACAATAATTATTTTGAATAAATCAATCGAGACAATACTCTTAAATATTAAATATCCATTTGATGATTTCTCAACGAATTATTTGTTTAATTTGTAACGATTCACTAAATTGGGCTTTCAAGTCCTTTATCAAAAAAAACTACAATGAATGGATGAACAAAGATGGCCAATAAATACTTAAATGTGATGATCGAACAGATTATATTCAACTTGTTTATCAATTACATCGATGAAAAAAAAAAAAAAAACAAAATATGATTGGTTTTTTTCTGTAATACGAAAAAATCATGTAATAATCATTATTGTCGAAATTTATATTATAAAATGATGCAGGAGTAATTGCAACAGCAATGGTATAAATAATAACAATGATAATATTAATAATAATGACAGTAATAATAATAGTTAAAATGACCAAAGATGAATATTATTACCATTACTATTTCATGCTCCTATGGAAATGAAAGAAAAAGAAGGGAAATTTGAGAATGAGATGGATAAATGTAAAAAATTTAAAAGGAAAGTCTCTATAAGATCCAAAATTCAACATGATATTGTCGCTCTACCAACAATTATGATCTCCATTATCATGATCTTTAACAGTAATACATACGTTATCAGTATATTTTAACTGCAACCATTTTCTAAGAAAGATATGGTAAAAAGATTTCCACCACTCTTCTCGGCATGAAAAGATTGAAATTTGATGGTCGTAAAGAAGAAATCAGTTCGAGTTACTTTAGCAGTGTTAAACAAAATTTAAATTATGCAACTTTTCATCAAGTAGCTCCTTATTTCAGATTCAAGCTTTTAGAATGCCATACATATTTTTTTCAAACTAGAAATTGAGCTTTCAATTTTCATTTCATTTTTAGAAATTCACGGTAAAACTACAGAAAGATTTCAAGATTTGATATCTATCATCGACAGAATGCATCAGATGGAAATGAAAATACGCTGAATTCTACTTATTTTAAGATTAAAATGTTCATCGCTTTAGCAAAATGGAAGGATTGAGCGAACTGCGAAAAAAAAATTTTCACAGAATTGCTACAACAAATGTGTCCGTTAGTAATGCTTCAAGTTATGAAAGCTCAATCTGTTTTTGGATAAGATGTAAGCTATTTTATGCAAAGCTGCAATAACTAATGAAATCGTTTAGCGATTTTCATTGATTTTCTCATTCTGTTCGACGAACAACAATTTGCAAAATAAAAAAAATAAATAAAAATGAAAATTGATATTTACAAGTCAATTAGCATTGACTTTCACTAAATACCTAACGCAGATATATATATATATATATCATAAAAACTATATGATTTTTCATTTTTTTCTGCTTTTCTGTTTCTTAACAAACAGTCCCATCAATTCATATCAGCTAAGATGGCAAATGCAACTGACATGATAATTTTAAAAGAAAAATTAAAAAAATTTTTAACTCCGCTAAGTAAGGATGATTGTAAAGTACTGTCCACAAAGCAAAAAAATACTTCATATGTAGTCTAGCCTGAATGTTCGCACTTCCATTGGTTCTAATAATACGTCATTCACGTCACCAAGATGATCGTATAACATTGTTAACGATGTCTCTGTTACACGTGAAGCTGTCTTCATAAATAAACGCTTCATATCAAGCTGAAAAAATATTAAATCTTGGATGAATCTATTAATTTTCAACAAATATTCAATAAGTACTAAGCATGTGTAATCCTTTATCAAAATGATGAGAGCTATAATATTATGCAGTTTTATATTTAAATTAAACTGAAGTGGAATTTATGTTAAAAATTGGTTTACAAACTTGAAGCCGCTCATTTTATCCACCATTTCTTGAAAATAATTTTTATGAATTCATTTAATACCAACCAATTCCCAGATTTCTACATCCACAATTTCAAGATTTAAAGGATTTTATAATAAAAATTAGCAGAACATACCATAGCACTGCATGTTTCTAATAATTTAGTGGTAAAGCGACAATCGATACCAAAGCGATGTAAAACAACAGCATATGAATTGCGAGGAATGTGAATGCGAACAGAATTGTTGTCGTAAATTGTTGGAGCTGCTAAGGTACGTAACGTAATCAGATGTGTATCATCACATGAGAATAAAATATTCATCAATTTATAATTATCGATATAGCCTGAAATATAGCACTAAACAGTTCTAAAACATTATTATCAGCACCTCATTATGATAGAAGACTAGAAGTGAAGTAACAAAGATAAATACTATGTATACTAAGTATGCTCGATATGGTAGGAATAAATTAAATAATCCCAATACATCTTGGCTTACGTACTAGTTTGCTTCGACTAGATGATTCACATTACCTAATGAACAACTAAATTTAAAGTAAATCAAAAAAACCATTTTTTCAAATGAAGCCTTATCTTGCTTACCACCTTGCTTCACCTGTCAAGCAATATAACTAATACAAAGATCAATTTTGAGAATTCAAACAAGCCTCTAAAGTCATTTATTTATTTGTCAACAATTATTTTCAACCTTATTTACCACACCAGTGAATGATAAATTAGGAAGAAACACAATTCAAACTTGAAAATTAATACAAACCTTCATTCAAACTACTCAACAGTACTACAGGTGGATATAAAAGTGACAGCATCTGACCATAGGCATGCATCGAGTGATAAGCAGTAATTCTAGCTTTCGTATTCACCGATATTTTTCGAGAAGGAACTTCAAACAAGAGTCGGAAAGAGCTTGTTGTTTTTCTATTATCCGTTATACCCTACAAAAGACTCGAAATTTTTATATAACAATTTACTAACTACCTGATTATTAGTTTGAATAAAAACAAAAAAGAACCAAAATAGAGTGATGGATATGAATTGCTGATGGATAAAGTAAATGAGCTCTTTTCAGAAGTTCTCTGCACATCCTCATTAATTGTCACCAGAAAATATGCTGTGTTGAACAAACTAAACAATCCTTAATTTTGAAACACGTACACTGAAAAGACCTCGTCCGTCATCTTGATTTAAGCGTCGATCCAACATTACATCCAACTGTCCTACAATTTATCTTCTACAGGAAACCTATCATAACTTATAAAATTTGTCATATCTATTAAAGAGTCTTTCCTGTTCCCTTTTTTGAAGCTTTACTATTAAGATTTTTAAGATAACTCAAACTGTATAAAATGGCTCAGTAAATTTCGTTATTAACAACCATTATCTATAAATAATAACCATTAACCTAATAACCAATATCTACTCATTTTCGTCACCACTAATACCATTGTTTCATGATTTGTTAATATCATTATTTTATT